TTGAGTTTTATAAGAGAAGTATATGCCTAAAATGTAAGGTTTTTGACATATTTAACATTTTTTAGAAATAAAGAACAATTTTTAAATTACAATAAAAGCTACCTAAATTGGAATTTACCCGGTATAGCATAATATGTAGTTAAATTAACTATTGTACTTTAAATCAAATTAAAACTTGATCCAAAAAGTTATACAGGGTGAGACAAAATTAATATTGAAAATTTTTCACCTTTAAAAGCATGTTACTCTTTTATTTTAAATGGAACACCCAGTATATTATTCCGATATTCAATGGAGAATTCATGTCTCTTAAAAATACTATTAAGGTTGCCTAGCCCTCAAACAAAGATTTTCCTAGATATTTTCATTTACATGATTTGATCTGAGTAGATTTTTATTATTTGATTAAATCTAAATCTAGTCCAACAAGTAGTTATCATTTTGTGTCAGTTAAAACAACAAAATTTCACAGAAATTTGCCGAAAATGCAAACTTATCCTACATCAGAGAGAATTGATATGATTCTATTAATTGGTGAAGGCAGTGTGCATTCACCAATTAAAACAATACTTAAAATCTAGTCTAGGTTTTTTATGGGGATATGTTAAAGACAGTGTTTACAAAACTCGACCAGCTATTGTCGACAACATAAAAGAAATTATTGTATAGCTGTTTTTCGAGGTAGAATTCCACATATGCCTTTTAAAATGAAAATATTCTTTTGAAAAGACAATCATTTTATGCACTTAACAGGAAAGTAAGCATTTTGAGCATGTGATTTCATCTAGCTAATTTTTGTTACATAATTAGAGGTTTATATCTAGTTTTAATTCTGTAAAATAATTAAAATATGTTTTAAACGTGTATCTTTTTATTACCGTTGAGTATTTTACTCTACAATCTTTAATTTTTGTTAAATTAACAAAAGGTATATCACACAGCCACCTAGATTTTTTCAAACAATAAAGATCTACTGACGCAAAATCATAAAAATTAAATTATCTAGGAAAATCTTTGTCTGAGGCGTAGGCAACCTTAATAATATTTTGAAGATATATAAATTCCCCATTGAACACTGGAAAAATATACTCGGTGTTCCATTTAAATTAAAGGAGTAACTTGCTTTTAAAGGTGACTAATGTTCCATATTAAATTTGTCTCATCCTGTATAACTTTTAATTTGGTTTAACATACAATGATTACTGTAATTAAATATCAGGCTATACAAGGTCAACTAAAATTTAGGTAGCTGTTGTCGAAATTTAAAATTTACTCTTCATTTTCACAAAATGTAAAATATGTCAAAATCCTAAGATTTTAGGTATATGCTTCTTTAATAAAACGCACCTTTATTTTTTTTCCTAGAATCCGAAAATCAATTATTAATATGTAGGGCGTTCCGTTAGAAAAAAACACAACTTTGGTGTGTAACTTTTTTGGGGGACACACTGTATAATTCTATATATTTTTATAAAGTGCTCTGAATTAACCTACCGTTCCAAACCAAACTACCGTTCTCCTTGCAGCTTCCGTGGCGTATGGGGGGCGCCACCCTGTATAATATCATTGTCTCTTATTATTATAGGGACTTATAGGAAAATAGATTTATACTAATTTCAAATAAAACTCTAAACATAACACAAATAAATATAATAAAACGGTTAAAAAATAAAAATCAGTGTTGTTGTGCCGGACAATCGCGACCTCCCCAGAGTACCAAGTACCGATGCGGTGATGCCTAGCCCCATCCGACATTCCAAAGCGCCCGCGGACCACCACCGGACCCAGGACGACCACCTCCATCTGTTGCTCCGCGAAGAGGACGGTTCCTCCGGAGCGGGTACTACTGACGGTACCGCCGCCGAGGAAGAGGGTACGGTCGTGGTAGCGGTCAGAGAACCGACTAGTCGCGGTCAGTGTCGCACGTGCGCGCGACGGTAGTGCCGACGATTATGCTGCTGGGACGACCATGGGACTATGGAGCCCATAGCCGAGGACCAGGAAACGGAGTACGAACTTGGTAAGTGCTACCGACTGTTTTCTGCGATCGTTAAGAGACCGGTTCTTGAATGAGGCGAGAGCAAAGGTAATTTTAAGGCGTCTTGTGACTATTTTTTTTTTATCAAACCAGTACAATATCTGCCATATTACAAATTAAAGTATTTTCAGAAAAGTCATATGCGTATTTCGCCACTCTAAGACAATCTACTGTAGTGTAACAACCCAAATTCGTCAACAAAGTTGAAGAGGTAATATTTTGGCCAACTGTATAACAAGAAATTTAAAAGAAAGAAAGTTGTGTTAAATATTTTTTTTTATTGTGATTACCTCGGATGCGCCTCGACAGAAGCAATATTTTGGGAAATTTGAGGAGAATAGATTATACAGGGTGTTTCAAAACAAATGCGAAAAACTTCAGGGGGTAATTCCTTGTTCAAAATAAAGGGTAGTTTGCTTCATAAACGTTGGGTCAAAAGTCAACCATTAGGGAGATATCGCGGTACAAAGATGGCGGAAAAATAAAGTTTTTATTTTTTATCTTGAAAACAAACAGAGATAGACTAATAAAATTTTATGGAAGCATTACTGTTATGAAAACACACTTTCTGGTAATTTTTAAACTTTTTTAAAATGAGTGGAAGGGGTTGAAATAAACTACCCCTATCATTCTTGTTAACGAAATTTAAAGAAAAATCTTATCAAACACATGCAAAAAAATTAATTTGGATAGTTTAGTTTGTTTAGAAACTTTTTTATCTCTTGTATTTTTTTTGATAAAACTCACCGATTTGAAATTAAAAAATAAAATGTAAAGCATTACATGCCAGGACAAAAAACATTTTCTGATAAAGAATCTAGTGGGCTGCTGTAATTTTTTTAGGAAAAAATCTAGTCGGCCGCTGTTACTTTTTAGGATGTTCCTAATATTATTTTATTTGACATTACTCTACTGCAATACGTTATTATCTAGATGATTATTATTATCGTTATTATCACTAGATTCTTAATCTAAAAATGTTTTTTGTCCTGACATGTAATGCTTTACATTTTATTTTTTAATTTCAAATCGGTGAGTTTTATCAAAAAAACACACACAAGAGATAAAAAAGTTTCTAAACAAACTAAACTATCCAAATTAATTTTTTGCATGTGTTTGATAAGATTTTTCTTTAAATTCCGTTAACAAGAATGATAGGGGTAGTTTATTTCAACCCCTTCCATTCATTTTAAAAAAGTGAAAAAATTACTAGAAAGTGTGTTTTCATAACAGTAATGCTTCCGTAAAATTTCATTAGTCTATCTCTTTTTGTTTTCAAGATAAAAAATAAAAACATTATTTTTCCGCCATCTTTGTACCGCGATATCTCCCTAATGGTTGACTTTTGACCCAACGTTTATAAAGCAAACTACCCTTTATTTTGAACAAGGAATCACCCCCTAAAGTTTTTCGCATTTGTTATGAAACACCCTGTATAAATAAAACGCTAAATTTGTAAATAGCCCTACTTATTTTATTAAATGAAATGAAAGGAGTGCCGTACTCTGTCTGGAATTCACATGTAAAAGAGCACAGCAGAGAAAACCATGATCACTATTCCAGAGAATCTAACTATGCTGTTCTGAACTTAAACAAAAGAGAAATAATAATATAGAAACTGTCCTCATACCTAGGTTTATAGTTTAATACATTCAAAACATGCCACATTTATATCGTTCAAAACTGAAGAGTTTTTTTGTTAGTTTAACGGGTCCTCACCCATAGGTACGAAGTCCCTTGTTGCGGAATCGACGGCTAAAGTTGAAGGTTTGATACCAATATCTTTAGAAATTATATATATTAGAATTTTTACTCGAATTATAACAGTAAACGATTTTATTTAGATTACTTTTAAACTGAAATTATTTACAGCATAAATAGATTCCATTAAATGCATACACATGTTATATATTGTCTTTGTCAGATCAAATGAATAAGGAAAAGCTTTAGAACAGAATTACAACAAGAAAACAAAATAATATGATTTAGTTAACATTAGTTAAATAATGAGAAAACTTTTACTTTACCTTTAATAACATTCTTTGTTACCAAACTCAAGAAACAAAATAATATCAATGCGTCTCGAATGTCTAGTCGATAGTCTAGAAGCTATTATTTAACATCTATCGTCTCTGTTCGTCGCCTGATTTCCCTCTCTTTTTTTTTATTTTCATTAAAAATGTCTAAAAGCAACTATTCGAGAACACTTTAGTTTTTTTCAAACAGATACATCTATAAAAACCGTTGACGTTCCAAAAAACCGTTTTCGTTAATAAATTATAACGATCATTTTTGTAGGTAATTACCTAAGCTTCATTTCTTATATATTAGCATATTTTGGCAGATATTTGCGAAAAACTGATTTTCCCCCAAAAAAAGGGAAAAGCCAAAGTTTTTTCCCCTAAATCTACTCCCCAAAAGGTACACAATCCGCCAGAAAAGTCCCGGTCGCTGAATTAGGCCGTGGTTTCAACCTTTATCTACAGGACTATTTGTAGGCGGAGACACTGCCGTGCGCCATCGCGCCAGATTAATACACCATATTAATATTAATACAGAAATATAATAGTAATATAATATAATATTGCTGTAGTATTACTATTTACGTGCATATAACATGTATTTGTTCGCTTTTGGTGCATCCTAATAAAATGTAGTATCTAGTATCTAGATACACAGACTTTTTCAGAAAAACAAATAAAAGTTTTTGACACTTATAAGATTATATATATATTACATCAGATATAGTTCTTTTGATCCGGAGAGGCTATAAAATCGCTCTCGACTTCCCGGTAATAATTAAATAAAAGAAGCAATCGCCTGCGACACAAAGTGGACGTGGAAATAACGAATAAGGGCCGCAAATTGTTCGCAATAATCGAGGCGGCGCACAGTGGTTCCGATATGGCAAAAAGTGACGCATATCGGTTAAAATTTATATCTGATAAATTTCTCTTTTAATAACATATTTCAAATACGCACCCGATAAACCATTTATCACTATCTCGTCTATGTTTTTTGTTGATTATTTTTTGATGGCGAGCATTTTTAAGATTTTTATCATTTGTACACTTTGTAAATCGAACGGAGGTCAGCATTAAGATAAATTTTGGTGTTTTATTAAATCAACAATAATACGTGTGAAAAGTAATACAACCATGGAGGAAGGCCATTCAGGTAAGTATTTTTTTAATAATCTGTATTTGTCTTTCGAGTTCAAATATCTTAAAAGCACCACCGAACACCACGCTAGTTTTTATTTTTAAAGTCTTTGTAGAACCCCTCCTACTTTTTAGTTCAATATCTAGACCCGCCATGACCCGCCGAAATAGAATTTTTACCTAATATTGTTTTCGTTTTAAAAAAAATACGAACTGGCGACTCCCAATTTACACTAAACTAAATTTTTTGATGCCAGATAGAAAAAAAACCATTTGGTGATTTCTTCTCGCGTCTATTCATCAATTGAAAAACACCTGACATTTTAGGTAACATCAGTCGTATGAATTTATGTAAACGTTTTCTTAAGAATGGATTCAATGGAAAATCGGAAGCTGAAATTTTGGAAGAAATTACCCTATATCTAACAAATTATTGTGATATTTAGAACACGGAGCAAGAATCCGCTAAGAAAATACTCAAATCATTCATTCAAAAATGGACCAAAAGATGGAGAGATTCATCTTATTCTTGGCAAAAATTTAGTTTGAAAAATGCTGATTGGTTAGAAAAAAATGTATTCAGTGACGTAGCTATAGACGAAAATTCGCAATGCACTGGGGAATCGGAACCCGGTCCATCAAAAAGAAAATGTTTTTCCGATTTATCCAAATCTCAAAAAGACAGAACTACGAAAGGTGATTTTTTTATTTCAATTTTGTGCACTATATTTACCATATATTAATTACTTCATTATAGACGTCAGAGATAATTATACTTCAGACATCCTTGCTTACGCAACCGTTTCTGTTCTTAAAAAGGAACATAAACATGATGTTGCTAAAGCAGTTTCAGCCGCTATTTCTTCTCCGGATGAAGTGTTGGCTGCTTTGAAACAAAATATTCCCAAAAAATTTACGCCTAATGAAGCCATCGCTTTATTTATAATCAACAGCAAGCAAACAAAGGCACAGTACCAAAACATGCGGTCAGCTACACTTTGGAAAGGTAATTTCATTAATTCGCAATTTGTATAAATATTTTTTTTTCATTATGTTTTTCATCAGGTACGGATCTGTACCCTTCATACCAGGAGATACTTAAATATAAAAAGTTGAGCTATCCTGTTTTAAATCCTGATGATTTTACTGAAACTGAAGCCAAAGTGACTCTTCAGAATTTAGTTGATACCACAGTAGAACGAATTTTAATTAATATTGCTGATCTGAATAGTACATGTGATATTATTGCCACACATAAATGGGGTATGGATGGAAGCAGTGGTCATTCGGAATTTAAGCAACGATTTATGGATCCAAAAAATTCCGATTCTACTGTATTTTGTACTAACTTGGTGCCTATTTCATTAACATATAGAGATGATTCTCAGAAAGATGTTATTTGGAGAAATGAAAATCCAAATTCTTCAAGGTATGATTAAAAATACTGAAGAAAAAGGGTATGAAGATTGGAAACCTGAAATTTATGAGCCTTTTTTCCTACCAACTACATCAATATGTTACTACATATCAAATTTTATCTAAATTTCGTCGAGTTATTAGACTTAGACTGAATTTGGAGGAGCCTAATCTAAATTTTTGATAAATTACATTTTCAAATTTTAGCTTATGTCGACCAATGAGAATGGCTTTTCTTCAAGGAAGACTGTAATACAATTCTAACAGAGTATTCTAGAGTGATGAAGGAAATTGTGGAAATACAGGACAGTAAAATAAAAATTAATAATAGCGTAGAAGTCATTGTAAGACATAGATTCTACTGTACAATGGTAGATGGAAAAATAATAAATGCGGTGTGCAAAAATGCTGCAACTTCGGTAAATGAGTTTTTGTTAAATATAATATTTTAAACGTTCTGCATAATGTTTAAACCTATTGTACTTTTAGAGATGCCCTGTTTGTCTAGCTGGACCAAAAACTTTGAATAATTTGCCGAGCCAAACCAATGCAGATGTTTTGAAATTTGGAATATCCCCTTTGCATGCAAAAATTAACTCCATGGAATTTTTACTGAGATGTTCATACAAGTATGTATATTAGATGAGAGAATTAAACATTGTTAGTTAGATGAGAAGTTGCTGTCATGTCAGCAAGCATTATCCATCTATATTTAATTTATTTTTAGACTGGCCTCTACGAAGGAAGAACAAGAAACTAAAAAGAAAATAATACAAAAGCAGTTTAAAGAGAAAACTGGTTTAAACATAGGTAAACCAAAACCAGGGTTTGGTATTTCCCATGACGGAAATACAGCTAGGAGATTTTTTCAGAACTCGAAAGTTACATCTGAAATTATAGGGATAGAGTTACCTATTATTGAAAGGTTCTCGAATGTCCTAGCTGCGATATCATGCAACAGAATTATTTCACCTGATCTTATGAAAATTATGCACGTGAAACTGCTGAACTTTTTCACAAAACCTACCCTCAATTCACGTTTTCACCAACAGTTCATAAAATTCTTTACCATGGACATGAGTACATGAAACAATTTCCTTTCATTCCAGTAGGTAATATTTCTTATAAAACTTTAATACCAAACAATAATTATTTTTTTAATTTAGGAGCATTGAGTGAAGAACCACAAGAAGCCCGCAACAAAGATTTTAAAAGATATCGTACAGACTTCTCAAGAAAGATTTCTCGGAAAGACACTTTAGAAGATATTTTTAACAGATTTATGTTAACATCTGATCCTCTATTTTTTTTCTTATTCAAGAAATTTCAGTTGTCATCAAAGACAACAAAAAAGGATGAAAATGTACACCTACCTCTAGATTTTCTCAATGAGGAAACTTCTGTTAACAATGCCATGATGGGTGTGGGGTACGATATGAGTTCTGACGAGGACAATTCTACAAGTAATGATGAAGATGACGAAATTACTAATGAGTTTGAAGATGGCGTTTTTTAACTAGTGATTCATATTGTTGCGGACCGGTGTGGACTCGACCTAACCTAACTATATGGCCCGCCCTCGGATGACCTTAACATCGCATTAAAGAATAGACACCGTAATGATTCATTCGAAGATTCGAGAAGAATCGAGTCCCACTGGAATGGAGTAGTACATACGAGAACATTCGAAACCTTCTCTATGCACCTAACGATCTATGGACTATTCTAGAAATCTTTAGCTGTAGGTATAAATGCCGGCGGCTGTGGCCTAGAGAGGGCAGTTATAAATAGACGAGTGCAGCTGACGCGTGGATGTAGAACAGTCGTCCTGGTCTTGCGGATGTTAAGGACTTCACAATATTGACGTTTTTTAATACCTTGAAACCTTAACTTTGTGCTCCACAAAATCAATTACAAAATGTATCCCTTAACCAAAAAATTACGTCAATAAAATCACATGCGGTACTTTTTCACCATTTGGAACCACTGTGCGGCGGCGATAAATTAAATAGCAACGGAAAAGAAAGAAAGAAAAGTGGCAAACCGGTGATTAAGAGACGCGAGACATTCCGCAACGACTTCGAGTCCATTAAATCTTATCGCAAATAGTACTGGAAATAATTCAGTAAAAATGCCACTGTTTATTACTTCTACTTCGTTCTAAACACATCGACACAATTAGAGGAACGAGTAAAATTTACACTAAGGTTGTAGGCACCCAGAGAGAGCAGAAAACTTTTTTGACTAAACTGTTTTCTTAAAAAGACTTCTGGTTTTTCGACTCTAGATCATCATCATCATCAACCGGCCACTAAAGTCCACTGCTGGACGTAGGCCTTCCTCGTTTGCTTACATAACTCCCTATCTTGAGCTATTTGCGTCCAGTTACAGTGGATATGCCTTAAGTCGTCATGCCAACTGGTTAGAGGGCCGCCTCTGCACCTGAATGCATCATATCTTGGTCTCCATTCTGTTATTTTCTTTGTCCATCGGTCATCGTTGAGCTTTGCAATGTGTCCCGCTCAATTCCATTTCAAAGTAGTTATTTTCTCTATGGCATCCATGACTTTTGTCAACTGTTAACTAGTTTCACTTATAATACTATATCCAGTGACTTACGCACCATTAAATCTTGGTGCTATTCTAATCTCCTATGCCTCAATCTATCAAAAACTAAAGTTTTGTCATATAAAAGTACTATACAATCTTTTGTACTTAATAACACCACTATTGACGTCGTGGACTTACTTGATATCTTGAAATGCGTGATAATATATACGATTGTAAACCTTAATGGTAATTTAACATGAATAAAGAATTTGAATTAAAAAAAAACTTTATACACTTGTTATTTAACAAAATCAAATTCAACAAAAAACATACACAAACAACAAAAAAAATCAAACATTCAAAGCATAACTACCCCGGTATGTACACTAATTACTGAGGCATAGTAGAATTAGAGCTTTTATGTTTTAATGCTCGTAAACATATTTGAAAGCACGACGCACTGCAGATTTTTTCAATCCTTTAGAGTTTTAGAACCTCTATACATGCATATTATAAGCTATATTTTATATTAACCAATGCATCGTAAAATCGAAAATATTTTAAACTTTATATAGATAAAACTATACATGGAAAACATTATTTAGGTGCCTTTAGGAAAAACGACTATCATAAAACTCTTATATAGCGGCTATATTTATTGATTATGATGCATGCATGTTAAAAAATAATATGCACTTTTCATTTTAAATAATCCTCTGTGCGCTGTATTTATTTTAATTACTATACTTAAGTACACTGACCGACACGAAAAATTTTCCTTTGTATTAAAGTTCAATATTATTTTGTTATAGTGGACCGATTTGGGTGTTTTTTATACTCTATTTCTAAAAGCGTGAGAGCACAAAAGACCCGCATTATAAATGCCAAAAGCGTTTTCTTGTGTACAGGGTGGGTCAAATTGGACGCTTTTAAAGAGAAACACCCTTTTCTGTAAAAGATAGACGAAAACTAATATCGGTGTCTGGAGCTCAATTTTTATCAAAAACATGATGGTGAAAACCGCAAACCGATATGTGTTACTGTTCCGGAGTACGGGGTGTTTTTCAAAAATATGCATTTTTAACAAATCGTTTTAACTTTTTTGCTATGGAAAATTTTGTATTTTTATGAAAACATTTCCAAAGCACGTTTTTACGTAGAATTTAATGGTTTAAGTATAATTTTTTTAACATTAATAATACGGTAGACTAGCTAAATAGGCATTTAAAGCTGATTGGATTGACAGACGAAGCTATGTGTAGGTTCTGCCAATCTGAAGAAGAAACGTCAGAACACATTTTATGTCGGTGTGACAGCCTGGCAAATGTGCGGTTCTCGGTAATAGGCAATGATAGGCCATTGCCAAGGAGCTACATGGAGGGTTCAGTCTCCAAGTTGCTAAACTTTGTGAAAAGGATAGGACTGGAGAATGTAATCTAAGGATCAGAAGAGGACCACAATAGATCTGAGAAGGTCGCAGTGGATCAGGCCGAAAGCCACCTCTAAGAATCTAATCTAATCTAATCTAACATTAATAATTTAAGGGTTGTTAACAGAAAAATTGATTTTTTATTTGGGGCACCCTGTATATTTTTAATTAAATGAAAAGAACTTAAAATTACCTTCATCTCCTATAGAAAAGGGTGTTTCCCTTTAAAAGCGTCGAATTTGACCCACCCTGTTCAGTGTAACATACCAAAAGATGGGACCAATTTAATTTTAAGGGTATATCTTCCAATGAAATTCAGACAGCTTGAAGACGTTTGTAGATGGACACATCCGGTACGTTAACAATAGGACAATAAAAATCCTCGTATAACAATAATAGGACACTAAAGATATTTAGGTACTAAGCGCAGGTTTAACACTAGTGACCGACACTGGTGTCGGGTATTAGGGTTTTAAGATTTATTTTAAGCTTTATTAAAATATATTTTGTCACACATCGTAAAATAATATGATAATACCAATACAAACATTTATTTACCAATTATTGGAATTTTCAGTTATCCTAAATATTAGCGAAGAAATCTAAAGTTTTTATTGTTAAATGAATGTAACAAGTTGCAAACTGTAACATAACAACAAAGAACAATGTCACACGTTTAGAAAAAAAATTCAATTAATGTTAAGTATTTACAATAATTACAAAACATAATATGTAATTATAAATCATCCTCACTGAAGTCAGAGTCGTCAGAATTTCCAACTGAAATTAGCAGATATAAGAGAGATTAGAGCTCCAAGAGATTATCTAGATCCCACATTTTTTGTTCCTTTTTTATGACGTGGTTTATGGTCATTTGTCCAATTTTCGGCAGATATTTGTGTTATCGACATATTCAGAAGTTCTTGCACATCTTTTAACTTAACTTTTTTAGCTTTGCCTAACTATTTGTAGCAGCTCCTTTCCGTTTTCGAATGAAATATCCTTTTGAGACAACCAACCTATAACATCCCTTTTCCTCCAAGGAACGGTTGGCAATTTTTCTACTAACCTCGAATGATAACTGGCAAAAGTGTACGCAATTTGTGCTGAATAATTTGATTATTCAACGGTGTAAAACATTCGAAGAAGTTCTCAAGACTTACGACCGAGAAAAATTATAGATTTTCCTTAATTTAAGTAAGAAAAATCTTCGGATTGTCAAGACAACTGTCTCTTCAATGAACATTTCGATAGATTGAAGCTAAGAAACAACGGCGAATGCAGATTCTGTGGGAAAAATGGGGAACCCATCACTTACTGCGCCGAAACGACAGCCATTCGTGCCATAAACTTTGGTACAACTGATATCTCTCTGCAAAACCTTCGCAGATACTGGCTTTTGGCAAAGCCCTGAGATTGTTATATGATGAGTTATAACTCTACAAAGAGGTTGGTTTTTTCTCTTCCCCTTCCAAACAACCTACAATTTACTCCCAAAAATATTGAACAACGCGCAAATATTAATAAACGATAACTTGGCTAAAGAAAAAAGTAGAAAATGGCAAAACGGTAATAAAGAGACGCGAAACATTTCATTACGATGCCAAGACTATTAAATCCTATCGTGAATCCCACCGCGTGTGTTTCAGAGAAAACACCAACAGTAAATGTTTATTATTTTTATGTTATTCTATTATTTTTTCTTTGATAAGATCAAAAGCAACAAAAGCAGCATAATAAATTTTGACGTTGGCGTGACATATTTATAAAAATAGCGAGTTCAAAAATATTTAATATCACATAGGTATGTTTTGAATATTATATTCTAAAATTTATAATTTTTAAATCCAGAGATTACTTAAGTGTTCAAAAAATATAACTAAACGATAATAAATTAATTTTAAAGGCTTTTTAATTCGTAGAACTTTATACCGTAAGATAAAAAAAATGCATCAAGTTGGCTTGAAAATTACCGCTATTCTCATTTCCAAGCCTCTGATCCCGTTTTTTTTATTGGTATTGTATATTTATTCCTATTCAACATATTCATGGCAGCGTTCTCCATTATAGTGGACAGCAAACTGCAGGAAAGAGGTTTGGGCATTAGATACAGATACGACGGCGACGGCGGTCTTTTCAACATAAAAAGACACGTACAAAATTCATCACAGAACTTCATGCGCTGATGACTGTGCTCTAGTTGCAAATACGTTACAGCAATTGCAAGAAATGTTGAATATATATACCTACCTGGGCATACAAGGCTTTGGGACTTAAGCTGAACATCGATAAAACTAAAGTCATGTGCACTCCCCCGGAAGATCACAACAATGCTATAAAAATCGGAGAAGAACTATTGGAATATGTAGCGGAATTCAATTACCTCGGCAGTTTGATTTCGGAAAATGCCAATATCGACTTTGAAATTCGTCACAGGATTAGCAGCGCCTCAAGAGCATTCTGGAAGTTAAAAGACAGGGTTTTCTACAATCATGACTTCAGCACAAAAACGAAACTTGCTGTGTACCGAGCAATGATAATTCCTACCATGTTATATGGAAGCTGTATTATTTGTGATATTAATTACACGTTGATTTATTATTTATATTTATTTATT